GAGGGCTTGTGTGTATTCCTTGTTAAGAATTTTGTATCCCTATCTTGTGGTAATAGAGGGCTTGTGTGTATTCCTTGTTGAGTATTTTGTATTCCTATCTTGTGGTAATAGAGGGCTTGTGTGTATTCCTTGTAAAGTATTTGTATCCCTATCTTGTTGTAATAGAGGGCTTGTGTGTATTCCTTGTTAAGAATTTGTATCTCTATCTTGGGGTAATAGAGGGCTTGTGTGTATTCCTTGTTAATAATTTGTATCCCTATCTTGTGGTAATAGAGGGCTTGTGTGTATTCCTTGTTAAGTATGTGTATCCCTATCTTGTGGTTATAGAGGGCTTGTGTGTGTTCCTTGTTAAGTATTTTGTATCCCTATCTTGTTGTAATAGAGGGCTTGTGTGTATTCCTTGTTATGTATGTGTATCCCTATCTTGTGGTAATAGAGGGCTTGTGTGTATTCTTTGTTAAGTATTTTGTATCTCTATCTTGTGGTTATAGAGGGCGGCTTGTGTGAATTCCTTGTTAAGAATTTGTATCCCTATCTTGTGGTAATAGAGGGCTTGTGTGTATTCCTTGTTAAGAATTTGTATCCCTATCTTGTGGTAATAGAGGACTTGTGTGAATTCCTTGTTAAGTATTTTGTATCCCTATCTTGTGGTAATAGAGGGCTTGTGTGTATTCCTTGTTAAGTATTTTGTATCCCTATCTTGTGGTAATAGAGGACTTGTGTGTGTTCCTTGTTAAGTATTTTGTATCCCTATCTTGTGGTAAAAGAGGGCTTGTGTGTGTTCCTTGTTAAGTATTTTGGATCCCTATCTTGTGGTAATAAAGGGCTTGTGTGTATTCCTTGTTAAGTATTTTGTATCCCTATCTTGTTGTAATAGAGGGCTTGTGGGTTTTCCTTGTTAAGTATTTTGTATCCCTATCTTGTGGTAATAGAGGGCTTGTGTGTATTCCTTGTAAAGTATGTGTATCCCTATCTTGTGGTAATAGAGGGCTTGTGTGTGTTCCTTGTTAAGAATTTTGTATCCCTATCTTGTGGTAATAGAGGGCTTGTGTGTATTCCTTGTAAAGTATTTGTATCCCTATCTTGTGGTAATAGAGGTTTTGTGGGTTTTCCTTGTTAAGTATTTTTTAGTAACGAAGGGCACTTCTCAGACCGTGTAAGGACAGACTGTAAACAACGACACTGGATAACATTTCCACAATTTCTCTGGTATAAAGTTTATAATAGGAACATCAATTGGATTCTTATATGCGGATCACTGAGCTAAACTACACATGTAACTATAATGTAAATGATACATTCCACAACCACTGAAAGTAAAATCATTTACAATGTGTAGCTTCATGGGAAAGTAATTTTGAATGAAAAAATCTATGCAAGATATTTCTGCATTCCTGACCCACCTCAAACAGTAAAATTATTTTCAGAGCCTAGATTGTCAGAGGAAACACAAAGCTATGACCACAGAGTTTACCTGAGAGTGAATAAAATATCCACAATATCTTAATTACCTTCGAATTCAGATCAATATTATATTAATTACCTTGATAACTAAACCAGACTTTCTTCGCACTGCTCTGATATATCTGGGTTAAAGGATCATAAACCCCCAGTTTTGTCTCACACTTACAGTATAAAAGGTTAATTATTGTAATGGGACACATTAATTGACAACTGAAACGTTTTTACTTAATACCTGGTAATGTACCAGTCTATCGCACTGAAACGTGTATAGGCCAACAAAACTGTTAATTAAATTCAATTAAAAGTGATATGGGGTTTATTTGTAAGGCCAAACTAAACAACTGTTGTGTACAATAATGTGTACAATAATGTCATGTTTTCCCATGGTATTGACAGATAGGTTTGTATATTAATATATGCACATGTAAAAACTGTGTACTTTATTTAAAATGCTGTAAAATAAATTAAAAGGTGACTTGTTAAAATGATATTGAATTAAAGATAGATCATAACTCATCATAAATTTCATAATACATAACAGTTTGCTCTAGATATTAATGATGTGATTTCAATAAGACATTACATAGCTACATTCAACTATACATGAACTCCTAGAGGATTTTCTGTGTAAGATTATGTTGGAATGTTTGGGTTCAGAGGTATATCTTTATGTATCACATGCAGACACATTAACTGACACATAGTTCCTTGACCGTATATACCACACCACTGACCCACAAGTCTACACTGGTCAGTAGTCGTTGACCAATAAATCCAAGTATAATCTTCTAATAAATCGATATGTCAAAATCTAATGTACTGGACTCTATCACACCATGACACAGACACATAGACTGACCAGTGTAAACAAGTGTGAGTAATAAAGTGTTACACATACTCTAACTGGTGTCAGAACAGATCATAGCTTACACAAACTGTGGGTCAATGTCAGAACAGATCATAGCTTACACAAACTCTGGGTCAATCTACAGGTAAAACCTCCATTATATATATAGCTACAGATCACTGACAGGAAAATTGGTGCTAACTCTACTTTCTATCAAAATACCCATCAAACAATGAATACATGTAATTGTTACATTCTTTATACTGTTGTGAGGCACTTTTGTACCCTGGATCTTAGACTTGTTAATTAAGTACATTTCACTAAAAACTTGGCAAGATAAAATTGTATACTTACCTATCTACATTTATAAACATGTCATTTTGAATAAAAACGGACATTTTCAATTCACTCGAGGTGTTCTTGTTGTTTTTGTGCAGTTTACATGTCTTACAAGCTTACCACGGTGATAATGACTTGGAATCAGACATAAATATATTTAATAATGGATCACAATTTATACAAAAGCTTTGCCAGTGAGTTTAGATCGAGATGCAGATTTCAGATTTTCCAGATTTTATTTCCAACACTCAGACACATGAAAATGTGTAACATGAGGTACATGTACATGAATTCATATATTAAATTTTGACAGGATGGACAGGTGCATGCATGTATACAAGGCAAGATTGTATTGACACTCAGACACATAATATGTGTTACATGAGGAAATAAAGTTGCAGATATGGAAAATGAAGTACAATGGACAGTTCAATTTAGAATCGGTACGGTATAGTAACATGATATGACATACAATGGAAAATACAAAACAAACATAAAAAACAACCATACATATAATTCACAAGTTATTTAACTATTAACAGTTATACATATGCATCATTCACAAAAGAGGAGCCATTTTGGTTAGGAAAATAGATAAACCTGTCAGAACTCGTTGATTGCATAATGATAAAAGACCTTTAAACTTATAAATATTTGGGTTTGTGCAATAATAACGAGGAATATATTTGTTACGTAAGGTGGATATGGTTATATTATTGCATTCAAATAGATAATGAAATAGATGCAGCAGTACTTACCTCATCAAACATGGGCTTGAATTTCTGTTAACAGCACCAGACATGTAAAAATATAAAGATTCACATATATTAACAATTCATTCAGTAAAACTTGATGCTTTATTTCATTTCCCATCCCGCTTACCACCAATATTCTATTTTAGGGTCCCATTTTCGTTATTAATTTAAAAAAAAATGAATTAAGTCTCCCTGTGAATATTGCCAAACACTTTTGAATAGGAACAAAACCACATTTTCTCTACTGTCATCTTCAACTTTTGTCAAGACATTGTTATTGTATGACATGGACATTGGACAGAAGAGGGTTGGGGTGGAGTATAACATGGGCATTGGACAGAAGAGGTTTGGGGTGGAGTATGACATGGGCATTGGACAGAAGAGCGTTGGGGTGGAGTATATCATAGACATTGGACATAAGAGGGTTGGGTTGTAGTATAACATGGACATTGACAGAAGAGGGTTGGGTTGTAGTATAACATGGACATGGGACAGAAGAGGGTTGGCGTGGAGTATAACATGGGCATTGGACAGAAGAGGGGTGGGGTGGAGTATAACTTGGACATTGGACAGAAGATGGTTGGGGTGGAGTATAACATGGGCATTGGACAGAAGAGGTTTGGGGTGGAGTATGACATGGACATTGGACCGAAGAGGGTTGGGGTTGAGCATGACATGGAGATTGGACAGAAGAGGTTTGGGGTGGAGTATGACATGGGCATTGGACAGAAGAGCGTTGGGGTGGAGTATAACTTGGACATTGGACAGAAGCGGGTTGGGGTGGAGTATAACATGGGCATTGGACAGAAGAGCGTTGGGGTGGAGTATGACATGAACATTGGACAGAAGAGGGGTGGGGTGGAGTATAACTTGGACATTGGACAGAAGCGGGTTGGGGTGGAGTATCACATGGAGATTGGACAGAAGAGGGGTGGGGTGGAGTATGACATGGGCATTGGACAGAAGAGCGTTGGGGTGGAGTATGACATGGACATTGGACAGAAGAGGGTTGGGGTGGAGTAGTGTCCAGAGGATTCGGACAGATTCCTCCCCACCTTTTTTAGCCTCTGTTTTTTTCATGTATTATACACAAACATTCTAAGTATATTCATACAACCTCAGAAAGATGCTTCACCTCACTCTTCTTGGCATGTAAGACAAAATAAAATAACTCAACAAAGAAGAAAGAGATCCTGTCTCACTCTGCTCGGCAATAAATATCACTATCCCTGTATTATGGTCTTAGAGAAAAACGGTTAATTCTTCTCATAGATTTCATTTCTGAGGCATATTGGAAAATCACAAAAGGTCACAGGAAAATACCTTTCTTTCAAGATATTGGTTATCAAAACACTAAAATAAACCACAGAGCTTGGCCTTAGTTGGAGCTTACCTGCTTCATATCAAAACTAATATACATTATCAAAGTATTATACAGCAATGCAAGGGGGTGGGGTCCAAAATGAACTTAATTATTTCAGCTCAATGTCGTAAGGATAATCCACTTCAATATACTGCCTTTTAGCTTGTACATACTATATATTGTAAATATACCTGTTTTGTGGTATACACCTGTATATAATTATATAAGGTAAACACAAATATTGTGGTACACCTTAGCTTTAAATAGTACATTTAAGTGCTTTTATGTATTTATATTGTAGTTTTCACCTGTAAGTTATTTTATACTGTATTAACAACTTCTATTGTGGTATACACCTGTATATAATTATACAAGGTAAACACAAAGATTGTGGTACACCTTAACTTTAAATAGTACATTTAAGTGCGTTTATGTATTTATATTGTAGTTTTCCCCTGTAAGTTATGTTACACTGTATTAACAACTTATATTGTCGTATACACCTGTATATAATTACACAAGGTAAACACAAAGATTGTGGTACACCTTGGCTTTAAATAGTACATTTAAGTGCTTTTACGTATTTATATTGTAGTTTTCACCTGCAAGTTATTTTACACTCTATTAACAACTTATATTGTGGTATACACCTGTATATAATTACACAAGGTAAATACAAATATTGTGGTACACCTTAGCTTTAAATAGCACATTTAAGTGCTTTTATGTATTTATATTGTAGTTTTCACCTGCAAGTTATTTTACACTGTATTAACAACTTATATTGTGGTACATTGTATGTATACACTTGTAGTTATTTTTGATACAACTAATATTGTGGTATACAACTGTATTTTATTTTACAATGTATTAACAACCTATATCTGGGTATACACCTCTACGTTATTTAACATTGTATAGTTCATACAATGTAAAATATAATATTGTGGTATACACATCTGAACAACCTATATAGTGTGGTATACACTATTACGGTACATCTTCACATTATTTTATACTTTCTGGATAATTGTGTTGGTTTACCAACATTTTTATTCCACATTTTCATATATTATTTGATACTGTAGTTACTTATATAATGTTTACCTGTGTACTGTATGTACTTATACACTGTACACCTGTATGATTTGACCATGTAAGTGACTTAAACCCAGTATAGCAACACTGTTGCCAGCTCTTTGCCAGTCCTAAATGTTCTACACACTACTTAGTGCGGGGATTAGCTAACAATGAAGTCTTTCAAATTAAAGTTACACATTAAATTAAATCCAAGAACTCGGTTATTGAAGGTACCGTGTAGAGGTAGGTAAGGGGATGTTGTGGAGAACACAAGATGTATGGTTCAGTGTGGAAAATACTAGATAGCTGTGTCCCCAATAAAACAATAAAACAAATATTATATTACCAGGTATTTAGTTGTTGTCAATTCAAGAGACATTTCTATCATTTAATATGGAATTCCATGTATAAGTCACCAGTGTTTATACTGAACTATATTACACTGATCTTGTCACAATATATGTACAAGACTTATATAAACATACACAAGTCTAAGTATTTCTGTGGCAAAAACAGGAAGAACTGACGATACATAATACATGTAACATTATGAGTCAATCTATATCGTTACTCGGTCACGGGTGTGTCTCACACGGTCCAGGATTAAACTACATTTAGATTAGTCAGCTTTCCCCATTAACCAGCATTTATAGATAACGTATCATTTCTACAAAACATCAACAATATGTAAGTGGATTCTACAAAACATCAACAATATGTACGTGGTTATCAATACAGAAAACATAACAGTGTATAGATAATAACAGGTAGTGCAAAAATCTTGTTATCTTTTGTTTTAAATCTGTTCTATTTTAAAAGCTGACTAGACACGCCTGCCACTTCACTTTCAATTTCGATTTTTTTGTATTTTATGGATGTGGAGGTGTCTTTGGTGCTCCAGTATCTTCGCCAGTGTCCCACGTTAGGGTGAATGTAATGAATTTTATTTACATGTACGGGTAGGCGGGGCTATCGACGGCGTTGTTGCAACTAGGGATTACAGCCTGGTAATAGTAACGCGTTGTACTTACGTTTTGTAGCTCCCTCCTCAAGTTTTCCTCCATCTCCACCTCCTCAGGGAGGGGCTCTTCCTCGTCCATCACCCGCCGACCTCGCCTCCCCCCTCGTATTGGCATTCTCACAGTAAATCCGACCTACACAGGCAATGTCTGGTCTGTACGCGGGTTGTCAACACGCTGTCGACTCCAATCAAACTGGAATCAGTGTTACCTGTGTGTAGTTCGCCGCGGGAAAACCCCGGGGAAATCAACCAGAACCAAGGACGCGTACAACGCACACGTGATCTGAATAAAAATGAAAGTTGCGATAGACTTCATGATAGTGACAGGTATACTACATGTGACAATCAATGCGGTACCAGTAAATAAACATGCATATGCTCGGAGACTATATATTCCCGTCCCTTGTGTTCTTACAAGCTGCCCTGTGGTGTATTCATAACGAAAGTCTACTCAGGATGCGATCGTCCATCTTGACAGCTAAAATTGTATACACACAGAACAGATCACACTATCAGGTGTATTGTAATTTCATTAACTCCTTGAATTGTCGCACACATGTGTTTACAACCTTGTGTTCTAGCTATTTACCTGGCACAACCTTGATACATAACGGCGCGTCGGAGTATATCGATCGTTTGTCCGTCTTCATTTATAACGATGTTTATAAATTATAGCAGGAAACAAATTAGACAACTTGTAACATATAAAAAGTAAAACAACGGAATTATATTCGCCATCTTAAGTCCGTGGTAAAAGAACATTGACATCAGTTACACGATACAATCTTCCGTTTTTAAAAGTTATATTCAGTACTCAGCTTGTCAAATATATAATGCTCGATGACGCAGTATTTATTTGGAAATAAGTATCAGCATTTCGTAATGAAGCATTACTATTCACAAATAGAAACGTGCTCTGTAGTGTTATTTAAATGACCAATGTAAGCCGTTATTAATCATTGTCTGGTAATGCGGCATATAATGCACGTTTAGACATGCAACTTGGTACGCGTGGCTCCGCTGGGGCGAAGTGCAGTCAACTTTATTTCAATCTCGATTTCAAAGGGAACATTTCATGGGATTTATAGACATCAAACCATGTACATGTACCATGACATTTGTCGCTGTGTGCCGCGATTTTGACTGTCACATAGGAGCCATGGACTAGATGTCTCCTTGGCCAAGCGATTCTCCAGTCCCTGTATGAACGTTGACACATTTCTAACTACGTTCTTTACGTATGATGGTTGTGTCATGGTGTATGGGCGAATTCCTGTAAGACAGTGTTATATGGACCGGGGGTAGGGGTAACTCAGAAGCCAAATTATTTTGACTCCTAGTACTAAAACTATAAGTTTTCTACTTGTAGTCTATAGTAACTTTTTCATTGCAGTTTTTACGTCGACCTTTGCCAATTCATTCATTATATCCGAATTCTCAAAATGTTATGATATTAACACCAAACTTCTGCGGCAAAGCCGATTACGGAAACTAGTCGAAGTCAAAGGGCATCCTCATCCGCTGTCAAAAGAGCATGGAGATGTAAACTTCGTGTTGACCGAGTTTCTGGTGTCATGCGGTAAGCCATCATGACTGACATATCTTGATGTATTATATCCGTCATGTAAATTGTGTGATGTTCTGTTATTACTAATATCAGTAATTGATCAAACTGTGTGTGCAGCATATGCTCCGCGTGAGCCCTTGGTTGGATTCTTGGTAGAACTTCAGGCTATGTGCAATAATCCTTACTGTAACAGATCCATCAGATAATGCTTGCTCTGTCTGGAACATTGTATAAAGCTTGAATGAGTGAATAGAGGAATTTCTGACTTTTGTCTGATATCAGAGTAAAAAATCAGTACAAGCTGTGAGGATTTCTTGGGAAAAAGGACAATTGAGATTTCCACAAATGTCTGTGTTTTCAGTGGAGATGCCTCAACTCACTTTGAAGCACTATCAACAACTAGAAGATGGACGTCACCCTCGTATGTCAATATATGCCATATCCGGAAGACTGAAGTGTATAGTTGGCCGTTTGGTGTAGGTTGTCGTGTGGTGTAAATTATCGTTTGGTATATGTTGCGGTTTGTTGTAGGTTGTCGTTTGATTCAGTTTCCGTTTGCGTAAGTTGTCGTTTGATTTAGGTTGCCGTTGTTGAAGGTTGTGGTTTGGTTAAGTTTCCGTTTGTGTAGATTGCCGTTTGGTATAAGTTTATTAAAGGTTTGGTGTAGGTGACCGGTTGCTGTACTTTGCCGCTTGGAATAGGTATGTTGTAGGCTGCCGTTTGGTATAGGTTTGGTGAAGGTGACCGTTTGTTGTAGGTTGCCGTTTGTTATAGTATTTGGTAGAGGTGACCGTTTGTTGTAGGTTGCCGTTAAGAATAGGTTTGGTGAAGGTGGCCGTTTGTTGTAGGTTGCTGTTTGATATAGGTTTGGTGAAGGTGACCGTTTGTTGTAGCGTTAAGTATATAGGTTTATTAAATTAAAGGTTTGGTGAAGGTGACCGTTTGTTGTAGGTTGCTGTTTGATATAGGTTTGGTGAAGGTGACCGTTTGTTGTAGGTTGCCGTTAAGTTTTTATAGGTTTGGTGAAGGTGACCGTTTGTTGTAGGTTGCCGCTTGGTATAGGTTTGGTGAAGGTGACCGTTTGTTGTAGGTTGCCGTTTGTTATAGTATTTGGTAGAGGTGACCGTTTGTTGTAGGTTGCCGTTAAGAATAGGTTTGGTGAAGGTGGCCGTTTGTTGTAGGTTGCCGCTTGGTATAGTTTGGTGTAGGTTGCCGTTTGTTATAGGTTTGGTGAAGGTGACCGTTTGTTGTAGGTTGCCGTTAAGTATATAGGTTTATTAAAGGTTTGGTGTAGGTGACCGTTTGATATAGATTTGGTGAAGATGGCCGTTTGTTGTAGGTTTCCGTAAAGTATATAGGTTTATTAAAGGTTTGGTGTAGGTGACCGTTTGTTATAGGGTTGGTGAAGGTGACCGTTTGTTGTAGGTTGCCGTTAAGAATAGGTTTGGTGAAGGTGACCGTTTGTTGTAGGTTGCCGTTAAGTATATATAGGTTTGGTGAAGGTGACCGTTTGTTGTAGGTTGCCGTTAAGTATATAGGTGTATTAAAGGTTTGGTGTAGATGACCGTTTGATATAGGTTTGGTGAAGGTGGCCGTTTGTTGTAGGTTGCCGTTAAGAATAGGTTTGGTGAAGGTGACCGTTTGTTGTAGGTTGCCGTTAAGTATATATAGGTTTGGTGTAGGTGACCGTTTGTTGTAGGTTGCTGTTTGATACAAGTTTGGTGAAGGTTTGATGTAGGCGACCGTTTGATATAAGTTTGGTGAAGGTGACCGTTTGTTATAGGTTTGGTGAAGGTAACCGTTTGTTTTAGGTTGCCGTTAAATATAGGTTTGGTGAAGGTGACCGTTTGTTTTAGGTTGCCGTGAAATATAGGTTTGGTGTAGGTGACCGTTTGATGTAGGTTTGTTGTGGGCTGCCGTTTAGTAAAGGTTTGGTGTAGGTGACCGTTTGTTGTAGGTTGCCGTTAAGTATATATAGGTTTGGTGTAGGTTGCCGTTTGTTATAGGTTTGGTGTAGGTGACCGTTTGTTATAGGTTTGGTGTAGGTGACCGTTTGTGGTGGGCTGCCATTTGGTGTAGGTTAGCGTTTAGTATAAGTTTGGTGTAGGTTACCGTTTGTTGTAGGTTACCGTTTTTTTGTGGGTTTCTGTTTGTTGTAGGTTACTGTTTGTTGTAAGTTGCCGTTTGTTGTAGGTTGCCGTTTGATATAGGTTTGGTGTAGGTTACCATTTGATGTAGGTTACCCTTTGTGGTGGGCTACCGTTTGTTATGGGTTACCGTTTGGTAGAGGTTTGGTTAAGGTTACCGTTTGTTGTTGGTTGCCGTTTGTTGTAGGTTGCCGTTTGTTGTAGGTTTGGTGCAAGTTAGCGTTTGTTGTGGGTTGCCGTTTGGTATAGGTTTGGTGTAGGTTACCGTTTGTTGTAGGTTGCCGTTTTGGTATAGATTAGTTGTAGGTTACCGTTTGTTGTAGGTTGCCGTTTGGTATAGATTTGTTGTAGGATACCGTTTGTGGTGGGTTACCGTTTGGTATAGGTTTGTTGTAGGTTACCGTTTGGTATAGGTTTGTTGTAGGTTACCGTTTGTTGTGGGTTGCCGTTTGGTATAGATTTGTTGTAGGTTTTCGTTTGGTATAGATTTGGTGTAGGTTACCGTTTGGTATAGATTTGTTGTAGGTTACCGTTTATTATAGGTTTGTTGTAGGTTACTGTTTGTTGTAGGTTGCCGTTTGGTAAAGATTTGTTGTGGGTTGCCGTTTGGTATAGATTTGTTGTAGGTTGCCGTTTGGTATAGATTTGATGTAGGTTGCCGTTTGGTATAGGTTTGGTATTAATCGGCTGCGCCCATTGCAATATTTGGGATGTTCTTCTCTCTTTCTACTTCTAGCTACCTTTTATTTCCCAGCGCTTTGCTTGGCAACATCTAACTTTTAGCTTGAATTCGCCAAGGAGAGGAAGGCAAAGGGTTCTATCCCCAGGCTGGGACATACCAAAGTCCTTAAAATGGTAGTTATTATTCCCTGCTTAACGTTCAGCATTAAGAGGAACGGCAACAACTTGTTCATCCATTTTCAGTATAATGTATACCGGGCGGAATGCTGTGCTTGGTGTTTTCGGCATGGCATTTCAGTGGGATAGCACTATAAAGTTGGCATCAGATCCGCGCGATCACAAGGAGGCAATCACACCAACTGTCTCCTGCACACACACACGCAAGCACGCATACACAACACACACCGAGGTACGTCCTTAAATGACCATAGCTGTATATAGGACGTTAACAAAATGAAACCAACCCAAAGTCTGTATAAGTTTGTTATAGGTGATCGTTTTGTGTAGATTGCTAGGTGTTGGTGTAGAATTGCCTTTTTGGATCAAGTTTACCGCTCGGTCTCGAAATTTTCGTTTGTGAAGGTTCCGTTGATGTAGATTAAAATATAACTTTGATAAATTTGTAGCAAGATACAACAAGGCGTTCGTTTTTATTTTAATTGTATAACGAAAAGAAAAAAAAAATGAAATAATCTCAGCTCATCCAGATTTTCTGTAGTTGAACAATGATGTATTTGAATTCGATATCTGTCCATCAATTGCCTTTATGAAGTAAACACAGTCGTTCTTGTTTCTCTGTAATCTAAAATATTTTAAATGGACATGTTAACCCACCTGTTAAATAAATAACCTCTATGACTGTACCTTTGTATAGACCCGACCTTTAGGCAATCTCTGGGTATGGTGTACACGTACACATACATCTAATTCCAAATGACTGGGTGGGTGGGGGCATGCAGTGCCCAATATAAATACTATTCAGATGGCAGCCGGGAGAAGAAATATAACATTGTAACATGTAGAACTGTACCATCGTATGCCTTCACCAGTTATTTGGAAATGGTTGTATTCATGTAGAAATACGTATATTGTTATCACTAGTTCATTGGGAGATAATACTTTCAACGAAATATTTACAAAGATTCCATAGTGAAAGAAATAAAATAATGTCGCTCATCATCATGAAGTGAATGGCTCTCTTATATCTAACTCGAAAGATATCCATATATATTTATTAAATCTGAAGCAGGGGGTATTTTAATGTTCTCTGTCAGTCACAAGGGAAGTAACGCTGCTGAATTTCAAGAGAAAATAACTCCTGTAATCATATCTATAGACCTAAGTTAACAGATAAAAA